GAAAGCTTCTAACTTCATGTTTATTCTTCAGGGTCGGCCACTCTCGCACGGCTTTCAACTTCTCCGGGTCGGTGAATACCACTTCTGGTGATACAACATGCCCGAGGTACCTGACCTCTTCCTGCAAGAGTTTCCTCATAGGTCGTATTTGTCGGAATGCCGGGTAGTATTTCCGCCGCCCGACCCTTCAGGGCAGTGATTAAGTATGTCGATTTTTCCTTATCCGTCCATTGGTTGTGCTCTGCTACGGTCTCGAATTGTCGCCGAAACACGCTCCACGTTGAATTCCCGTTAAATGTCGGGGGCTGAGCTGTGCTCGCGATGATTGTTGATGTATTTCCCCGCTCGGCCTTCATTTGTACTATGTCCAACCATGCCTGGATATCTCGTTTGGTTTCTTCAATTGCTGCACATATTTTCGTTAGCTCTTCCTGGATTTTATCTGTCCGTGCGCAAAGGGACACTTCAATCTGCTCAGTTATTTCTGACCGGAGAGTCTGTTTGTCGTGTTCAACGATCGCCAAAATGTTTTCAACTCTATGTTGGATTTTATTGTCCAAATCTGACCGCATAGATCGCATGTCGGCCTTGATTTCTTCCTTGTCGGCCTTCCTGTCGGCTGCCGCCTTTTCTTGATTGACTTCTAATTTCGCCAGGAAATCTTCTCTGTCTTTTTTTCTATTTGCTTCCGCCTTTTCTTGATGGGTTTTTAGATCGGCGTCTAATTTGGCCAGGAAATCTCTGTCTTTCCTCCTATTTTCCTCCATCTCTTCTTTGCCTTTCTTCCTTTTTGCCTCCGTCGTTTCGTGCTTCTCTCTGATTTCCTTCAGTAGAACTTCCATCATTTGTTGCATCTCCATTTTGTAGCAGTAAAATTCTCTGGGGCGTATTTAAGCTCGTAAAAATTCTGACACCAAATTGTCACGTGTCTTGAGTTCGAAGCTCGTTGGTCACGTGTGTAAGTTCATATCCCACTTCTGACACCAGTGTAACGTGTCTTGCATTACTGAATACGCCGTAGAGATCGTTAATTGGTTTATTGAACAATCTACAAATAACGGCTACAATTAATTATCACAATGTGACGGTTTCCACAGTTTACAAACCCTACAACAAAATCTCTTGACACTATCTTCCAGAGTCTTCACCTATTAATATCGCGGGAGCTATACAAATCTCCCTGAATTACACACTCCAGATATAACTGGACTACAGCACTCACTAAGTCTCGAAAGCACACAATAAGTCTTCCGCTCGCTGACTTCTTAGTTATCGCACACTCACAGGCTGCTACCTTGAGAACTGTTGATAACACACTGACTGCCGCCTGCTGCTCAGCCGGCTTTTATTCCGTTGGCTGTTGCTAGTTGTGACGTGGCGTATAGCCTAGCAACGCCGTTACCCCTTGGTGACGTCACCGCTGTTGACTAGCTTTGCATAGCTTCAAGGTTGCAGGGACTCGGCTAACTTCGGCTCCGCTCGGCTCACTTCGGCTCCACTCGTGACGTCACCGCGGGAAGAGTTGCGGGGTGATTACTCGCCTATTACGCGAGCGCTACGTTACCGCTACGTGCAGCTGGGGAGGTAGGGGTCAACATGTCACAATATATTGGGAGACCAATGTTAATATGTTTAGTTTTTTTAATACTGGCCTGCATGTATCTCTTTGTTTCAATCCCATCATCACCCTAACAGTTCTCTTCTGTAAGATAAAATTCTTAGCATCTGGTGAATTACCCCAGAAACTATCCCATACCTTATGACTGAATCAATATATGAATGATATATCATCCTAAGTGTTTCGATATTATTGCCCAACTTCATTTTTCTTAATGCAAAGCATTCCTTGCCCAATCTGGGTGACATTAATTTAATGTGTGTTTTCCAGTTGAAAAACTGTATAGAGCTGAAGAAAAGTTTCCTGCTGTAAGTGAAAAGATTGTGAGTGTTTCGTGCTTGTGTGCACAGAGAAGAATTTTATTTTATTTCAATTGTCTTGGCCAAAGAAAGTATATATTTTGTGACCAGCATCTGTTTGTTTGCATAATCCATGTGGGGCGTTCCTTACACATGGGTGATAACGGTTTGGGATATTATGTAGGAGAGCAATGAGTTCAAGGAGAGAGATGTGGGTAAGTCATGTAGTGCACATGCAACGGTGAGAAATGCATACAAAGTTTTGGAAGGAAAACCCGAGAGAAGCAGACCACTTGGGAGACCTAAGTGAAGATGGAAGAATGCTATTAAGATAGATTTTAAAGAAATAGTTTGGAAGTGTTTGTACTGGGTCTGTTTGCCTTAGGATGCAGAGCCGTTATGACCATGTGTGAGCACAGTAATGAGCCCTTAGGCACCATAACTAACTCCATGGAGCTGAGTGAGTCCTTGAGAAGCCACCAGTTGCTTGGCCACTGAAGAATTTCCCAGCATTGTATAGAACCTGAAAATTTATTGTCATGTTCACAAGAATCCGTCACAGGCCCCTATCCTGAGCCATTTGAATCCAATCCACACCAGCCCATCCTATGTTTCTTAAAGAACCCACCTATGCCTAGGTCTTCCTATTGGTCTCTTTCATTCTGGCTTTCTCGTCAAATCCTAAATGCATTCCCCTTCTCCCCCATGCCTGCTTATGAGCTCCCCATCTCATTGCCCTTGACTTAATCATATAATTATGCTTGGTGAACGAAGGTTACAAGTTGTGGAGCTCTTCATTATAATGTCTATAGGCACCAAAAAAGCAGATATTTTCTGTACTGCTGCAGTGACCGATAGTTCCTTGGGAAGGTCCCTAAGCTGTGAACTGAGTACTTTCTAGTGATGTTTATCTGCCCTACCTGGTGTTGCTGCTGCTGCTGAAGTTGCTAGGCCTTGGCTGGTTTCGGCTTGACCGGGCTCCACCTCTTCTTCCGGCTCCGCCGCTTCCTCCTTCCGTTGAGATTACAGGGGGGTTGAATTTCATGATGGGACCTGATGGTATGGGTGCCAGCAAACAGCTAGAGACTGTTTGTGATTCATTGTAGAGGGGGGAAGGCGTAAGTAGGTGAAAGCTGGCGATGGGTTTGACTAGCTAGTTGAGATGAGTCTCTCTTGAGGGCGTATACGGGTCAGGCTCGGACAAGTGACGGTGAAGCTCCTCTAACCAACACAATGCACTGTACCACTACAGCACTTTATTGTTCTTCTTACAGGCACTCGGCTGTATATGTTCACACAATCTGGTTTAGTTTCAGCTTACAAGCAGCTGGTGTTACACCTGCACAAATTGCACTCGATAAGATAGACTTACAACCATCTGCTTATGGATTAAGCCAAATCCCTATATGAGTCGTTATGAGCAAAATTTTGTACTTAGAATTTTCCTCTCGCGCGTGTGATGTGGGGTTTGCCTCCGCCAAGTTCTAAAGTCGATAGCTGACTAAGAACTTAGACTGGACTCTCTGCCGAGCCAGAGGTCCTAACTGCGTTATATCCGCCTATTCTCCTCTCCTCCTAATTTCCCTGATAGGCCGATTCAAATAAGAGGAGTTGACTTAATTTTGGTTCTGGCCAATGACAGATTGTTTTTAAGGGATTTCACCCCAAAAGACCAAACGGCGAAATTGACAGCGATGCAACTTATGAGGGGTCGCTAATGATCTCCTGGCACTCCCACTTTTGACTTACGGCTGGTAGAAACTGTCACTTCTTGAATTCTCAAAGTGGCTTGCCGCTGTATGTCAAATTCTCAATTTCTAAAGAAACTCAGTGGGGTTTCCTGAAGTATCATTTCTGCCCTTCTGGAAAATAACACCAGATGTTTTGTAATGTGGTAACGCTGGTATGTTATGTGACGTCACCACATGTTGTATTTTATCAAATTTAATGATGTTTTCTCACATTAATTTGGCATATGATAGTGTGAGCTACCCTAGACACAGAGTATAGAACTGAAATTAAGCCTAATATAAACAGATATTTCGCAACTTGAAAATGAAGTCATCTCGACTGCACACGGCACTGAGGATGACGTTATAGTTCTGAGAAAAGGCTGCAATATCCAGGGGCCATTCAGGCCTGAAGCTCTCCTTATAAGGAGATGGACGCTATGAAGTCACATGATTTTGCCACGCCCGAAGACAGTACTATATAAGGGCTGGCTTTGTAACTAATCGAGGATGTAAAAACTATTAATCTAGTGCCGCACGCACTGTGCGCGTGAGAGCACACTGCTCTCGTAAAGTCAGGGGTTTGATTCCTGTATTATACTTATTTCATGTCTTGAACAAGTAAAGTGTTTGGTTCCACCTCACAAGTTCGTGTCGTCTACCTTATTTCACACATTCGAATCTTCAAGTAGATTTCGCTTATCCACACGCCCAACGCTTCGGTCCTCAAACGCTCAACGACTTCGGCAGGCAGAGTTCAACATCGCACCTGGCCAGTGCATCTCACCTGTTGGAGTAGTACAACAACACCGTACCTGTCTTAGTGCAGTAACACTAAGTGGTGGCAGCAAAACAATGTTACCTTCTAAGTCTTTTGACTTAGCGACAAACTTCTAACATCCTGAGTTCGCGTGTGAACTACCATCCTCACACACGCGAACGTAAACAACCCACATTACATGGTGTTCAGCGGCGGGATACGTGTGTGAAATCAGTGGCGTGAAGAAAGTGAACATGTGCGGTGAATCATTCACTTGGCTGTAAACCTGAACGCCTACTGGGCCCACTCGAGGGTCAACGCCCCGGAGGAGGTCTGGGTTAACTTGTCGCGGAAGCTCTGACACCGGACTACTGGGAAGGAGCAGTCAACTTGATCACGTGGGAGGAAGCTTCCATAAGCGGCCTACGTTGAATCCCGAGGGACAGCATAGGTGACAAGCCGGGAGCAGCCGCCGCCGCGAGAGGGGCTTGGAACATCCTTTGGGACATCGTTTCAACGCACCGAACTACGGCTTTCCGAACACCCTTCACTCTTCAATTTCCAAACAGGTTAGTCTAATCCACTATGGCAGAAGACGAAAGTGAATACATTTCTGTGGTTCAGGCGGTTAAGTTAATTCCCAAAAGCTTCGATGGGAACCCCAAGTGTTTACGTGAATTTTGTGATGGGGTTGAAGCTGCTAGAAAGGTAGTGCATCCAACGAAATACCCGCTACTTTTAAAATTTATCGAGTCAAAGATTACAGGCGAAGCAAAAGATAGGTTGCTTGCCAGGTCAGAAAGAAATACATGGGAACAAGTTAGGGCTATTCTGGAGGAAAATTATGCAGTGAAAAGAACATTAGAATATTATGCAGGTTTGTTGTTCACTGCGAAACAAGAAAATCATGAAAGTGTGGCTCAATGGGGTTCAAGAATTGACAACGTGGGTTTAGATTTGATGTGAGAGGCAAAACGCAGGATTGAAAAAATAAATCCAAATTCTATTGAAGGAGGCGTTATACTTGTTTCAGAATTTATGAAGGGCACGTTTGTAGCAGGGTTAAAGGATGACAGAGTTAAATACATTGTCAAGGCTAGGGGGGAAGAGGATTCCCTAGCACAATTAGTAGAGACAGCACTACAGGAGGAATG